GCAGCCCGCGGCGGCACGATGCGCGAGGGCAACCGCACGGGAGCCGAGCCCCCGCCGCACCTCTTCCCCGTGCCCGTGCTCACCGGCATCACCGTCGCCTGCGTCCTGCTCTTCGTCATCGGCATCGTTGGCAACCTCATGACCATGCTGGTGGTGTCGCGGTTCCGGGACATGAGGACCACCACCAACTTCTACCTGTCCAGCATGGCCTTCTCCGACCTGCTCATCTTCCTCTGCATGCCCCTGGACCTCTTCCGCCTCTGGCAGTACCGGCCCTGGAACTTCGGGGACCTCCTCTGCAAGCTCTTCCAGTTCGTCAGCGAGAGCTGCACCTACTCCACCATCCTCAACATCACGGCGCTCAGCGTGGAGCGGTACGTCGCCATCTGCTTCCCCCTCCGAGCTAAAGTCATCATCACCAAGGGGAAGGTCAAGCTGGTCATCCTCTTCCTCTGGGCCGTCTCCTTCATCAGCGCGGGACCCATCTTCATCTTGGTGGGGGTCGAGCACGAGAACGGCACGAACCCCCTGAGCACCAACGAGTGCCGAGCCACGGAGTACGCCGTCCGCTCGGGGCTCCTCACCATCATGGTCTGGACCTCCAGCATCTTCTTTTTCCTGCCCGTGTTTTGCCTGACCGTGCTGTACAGCCTCATCGGGAGGAAGCTCTGGAGGAGGAAGAAAAAGAACATCGGTCCAAACACAGTCATCAGGGACAAGAACAACAAGCAAACTGTGAAAATGTTAGGTACGAGTCTTGTTCTCTTTTTCCAAAGGATGCATGTGCTTGTGTGTGTGTGTGAGAGAGAAAGACTGAGAGCTCTCTGGTAGTTTACTATAGTTGCTTCCAAAGAAAAGGATTTATGGAAAATGTTTCATACAAAGGGCTAAGTATTCTTAAGAGAAACTCTCCTCCTCCCTTAGATTTATTTCTAACTGGTATGAAGTGGGGACTCCCAAACAGTTAAACAAATGTTAATAACAATCCTGACAAGGACAAATACTACAGTTATAATTAGCTTGTGCCCTGCAGATTTTTGAGCATTTTTGCTCTTTGGTTGTGGATACCAATGTTATTTACAGAAGAACAGTTTATTTGATTTTTAAACAAAACTAAACCCTTCTCAAACCATGAAGTTGAGCTGCAGACTAAGCAGGCAGGGCATGATGTGCACTTAGTATTCATATGGAAAGAGTATCAAGATTTTAGCAAATTGAGATTATTTCCTACCATGGTTGTTTAAGTTTATGAAAATTAATCTGCATTCTTATATCAGCAAAACACTGCATGTGCTGAACCAACAACACTGTGTCTCCTTTGGGGTCTGTGGTGCTCTAAATTCTCACTGACTGCAAAACAGGATCAAGGCAACAGACTCTGTGATTCCTAACTTTGTGTGTGAACATTGCTGAATGCTTTAAACAGCAGTTATGGCTGGCACATGGAAACACAAATTTTAAGATACTAAGTCAGGGTGTGAGTGTGATGCACAAAGCCCAAAAGTTGTGGACTTTAGTGTCTGAAAACTGCAGAATCCTGCTGCTGCTGCTGCATACTTTTGTTCAAGCCAGAAGACCTCTGCAGTGCAAGTCATCCCGTGGATTTCAGGGGGATGAGATGCTCTGCAGAAAGCTCTGCTGTGCTCGTTTCTGTGGGGTTGAAGTGGTGGGCTAATGAGCCAGACAAGAGGTGGCAGTGAGTCCTAAGTACCTTAATTACCAAACGGGAGCCTAACGGATTTTTTTGTTCATGTCCTACTTTATTACTATGCAACGGCAGGAAAGATAATAAAACCCACGGCATTCTTTGTGCCCTTTCAGCTACGTTTTATGATCAATAGAATTACTTCTGTCTGGTAAGCGTGACCTTGGAAGTAATTAATCATTTACACTTCTAGAGGTTCGGGATTATGAAACTCCACTTATCATAAGTAAATTGCATATATTACTACCACATTTATATTTCTGTATACATAACTGTAAAGAATTTTGAAACAGTAACTGCTTATTTCTGCCCTGAAGTATTGCCATAACCATTGCAATATTTCAGGAACCTTTTTTTTTCCTTTTACAAGGTCTGAGACCAGCAAGCCAGTGGCAAGACTGTCCTTTGACAGAAAGCCAACATTCCCTACATGATAACAGTCTTCTGCCTGATGGAAAGATGGAAAGAAGTTAGTAGGGCTCAGTACCAGCAGATGCTCAATGCAGTCTGCTCTCACTGCTGTTAATGTTCTGCTTAAAATTTAGAAGGCACTTTCTAAGGCTTTAGCAAGTCATGGAACATCAAGTAAATGGAATTAGCATCAACACTTCTTTTAAACTGTAGAGTAACGTTATGCTTCTGGGTCCATAATTAAACACCTAAATGTATAACCTGACTTGCAAAGGAGCTATTATACCCTGTTTCTATTGAAATCCATGGGATTCTGCATGCATGAAGATCAAAGCACGAGTAGGGATATGCTAGCCTACATGTGCTTAAAATTCTGTTCACAATAGACTATGCTTAAAAGTCTGTTCATAATGACCATCAGGGTAATATTCATTACATGGACTCAACTCCCCTTGTGAGCTAGGGAAACATTATCTCAATTCTGTAGGTGAAGATACTGAGGATGTGGTTGGCTCAAGAAGATACAAAGCTGGAAAACACTCTCTGAACCTCAGCTCTGTGCTTTTTGAGTCTGCCGTAAGTCCTGGAAAAGAATCCATTTAAACTTAGGAATAATGGCTCAGAAGGTTTTTGGAGAAAGATGCCTATAATCATCCCTCTTAGCTCTTTGAATTGTATTGTCTTCTGAGACTTGATATGAGGACACAGAATTGCTAACATGAGAGAGCACAAGGCCAGATTGGATGGGGCTCTGAGCAACCTGGTCTAGTGGAAGGTGTCCCTGTCCATGGCAGGGGGTTTGGAATGAAGTTATCTTTAAGATCCCTTGCAACACAAACCATTCTGTGATTCTATGAACAGGTTAACTGGTAAATATTGCTTAAGAATGTCAGAAACCCTTGCTCGAGTTTTCTGGTTTTTTTTCTCTGTAGTATATTAATGGATACACTCAAAGCAATATGAAAAATAATAAAGGTCAAAGGCACACAGGAAATGAAAATAAAAAGCTTCCCTTTCTCCAAGATGGAAATTCAAACAGGCCAGTGTTCATAGATACACAGATTCCTATTATCCTATAGACATGATACTGACATATAAACACAACCACAGTGGTAGTGTAATATTAGATATACTATACATTTAGTTTTACTCTTCTTGGAAAGAACTCATGTTCCAAAAATTGGACAAACTGGAGAGGTGCACTACGCTCCTGTTCTCACCTTGGCATGGGTGCTCTGCAAGTCCACATTCTGGTGGTTTTATTCTGGGGCCTTTGTCTTAAACAGCTTTGCTTTGCCTTTGCTTCCCAGCGATTACATCCTTCATTATGAACCACAGTGTTGAGTCTATCACATACAATTTTCTTTTGTTAAACACTGTGGTTTATAGACTGTTATACTCTTTTCTTTTTTTTGTCACCATTTGGCTTCTTTAGTTCTCTGTTGATGCAAACATAAGCTTTATAGCTCAGAAGTTTGCTACATCAGGTTAGTTGGGCAATATTCAAGCAGCCTGTTTAGATGGGGTCAATATGTGTTAAGTATCACTAATTTAAACTCTCAGAGAATGTATCAAGAGACACAACTGAAAGCTTAGGGGATACATTTTCACACTTTTTGATTAATTTGTGAAAGGAAAAGAACTGTGAAATAGAATGTTAATGAAATAGAATGTTAATACTCAACACAATTTCTTCTGCTGTTTCTGTTTCAGTTGTGGTGGTATTTGCTTTCATACTCTGCTGGTTGCCTTTTCACGTAGGACGATATTTATTTTCCAAATCCTTTGAAGCTGGATCCTTGGAGATAGCTGTGATCAGCCAGTACTGCAACTTGGTGTCCTTTGTCCTCTTCTACCTTAGTGCGGCCATCAATCCCATCCTCTACAACATCATGTCGAAGAAGTACCGCGTAGCCGCTTGTCGCCTGTTTGGACTCAAACTCCTTCCAAAGAAAAGACTCTCCAGCACAAAGCAGGAAAGTTCCCGTGTGTGGACAGAGCCAAGTGTTATCACATGACACATGGTTTCCAGCACTGGAGCATCACTCACTGCATTTCCCAGAAAGCCATAAAGGAAGAGAAAGAGGGCAAGAAATGGGAAACCAACCATTAAAGCTGTACATTTGTCATCATCTGGATGTGCTGAAAGATGTAATGTAGGAAGCTAAACATTAAAAAAGCCAAACTAAACTCTGAGACTATAAAAGGAGACAAATGGTCACAGAATTTGGCAATGCTCAAGTGGTTTTTTTTTCTACTGCTTTTGCCCACGTGATTTTTGAGCGCTGACTTTAGCCTAGAGCTACTCTGTGCCATCCTGCCCAGGCAAACATATCCCACTTCACTTGAGAGTTTGTATGACTTCGGTAGCAGCTAATTGGAGCTGAACTTTTCCAGAGTTAGCTTTAGTTTTGCTAAGAATTTTGCTGGCATATACCCAGATATGCTAGAGAGAGAAAATGGAATTGCCTTTTTCAAGTAGTAAACAAGAAATTTGATACACTTTTCATAATCTCAATTTTTAAATAAGCTCATGATTTTCTCTGAATGAAGAAAATGGTTTCTTAAAATACAAGGAGAGATAAAATGTATGATTTTTAAACCAGCTAAAAATAAACGACCTTCATGTCATGTCCTAGTAGAAAGGAAACAAAAAATGCCTTCACAGAAGTGGCTTAGAAGATGACTGTACTGAAATTTTTTTTAAAATATCTATCAGTAGGACAAGGACAGTGCTGACTACAGGATTGCAGTGATGCTATAAAAATGTGGAATGCAATCTCCCACCAAAGTTATTGGGTTTTTTTTACTAGCTAAATCATCTGTGCTTGTTCTGTTCAGCTTGACTGTCCTGATGTCTTTGAACTTGGAAGCTTTTAGTTGTTTCAATATTTATTATGTCTGTGGCTACCTGTCCCTAATTGTACCCCAAAGTTTGCTGAAGACAGGTCTCCTGCCTGTAAATCCCCCTCATTTCAGTTTAAAGCTGATTCCCAGTCCCACATCCTCCCATACAGTCTGGTGTGCAGTTGTACTTGTTTGCTGCAGTATTGAATTGAGAACATTTGACATTTTTTTACCCAACGTGACCTGAGAAAGTAATAGAAAACTCTGCATTAAAAGGCACAGCAGACACATTCTCAACCTTGATTCAGAAAAATCTTAAATTAGATTTTTATAACCCAAGTGTGCCCTTTCAAGGCAAACCAGAAAAATTTCCATCCCCTGTGCTAACAAATGTGTCTTATATTGTCTCACCAGCACATGGATTTCGTGGTCCAGCTGACAGAGCTCTGGGGTGTGGATGTGAGAGCAGCTTTCTGTTCTCTTGGTTCTAGAATTTGTCACCAGCTGGTCCACAACTGATTCTCCATAATGAATTTTAATTCTCTATAATGAATTGGCAGTTAGCAGAGACTCTCCTGCCTTCAGCCCCCTGTTTCACTGGTGGGCCACTTTCTGCCTGTTACACCTTTAACTGACAGTGCTGCTCAGGTACAACTCACAAGAGAATTTGGCCTCTTTCTGTATATACACCATGTCTTTTCTATCACCCTGCACTTTGCTGGGGCCAGAGACTGGTTGCTGTTCCTTGGTTGCACCTGAGCCTGTCCTCTCCCCACTCAAGCACTCACAGGGACGTGGGTTTGATGTACACACACCTATACATTAAGGTACTCAGCGCTATGGGATCACTTTCCGCTTTGCCTCAAACCACATCCACCTTGCTGTCCATTTTATTCTCCCACTCATTGACTGACAAGCAGATCTGATGGCAGATGTCATGCAACTCAGGGAAACAAGACATTTGGGAATCTCAAAAAGCTTGTGAAGATGTGAGCTCACTACTGTGTAAATGTACCAATCGCACACACCCAGCGTCACATCGGTGTTTCAAATCTTGGTTGTGTCTGTGGTCTTAAATGTGAACAGAAAAAAAAATAAAGTGATGAGATCCTTTATAACCCTCCTGGCTTGGTGGTGGTGGTGGAGGATCCAGTGTGATTCACACAGCTGGAGGGTTGGCTCGGGGGCTGCAGGGCTGGCAGCAGCACCCCATGGCTCGGGACAGGGCATGGAACAGGTACCAGTGGCACACATGGCAAGACCTCATGGGGCTGTTCTGTTCCCTGCAAGTGAAACCTGTGTCTCAGTTACAGGGAGATATTCTGTGCTGCCATTACCTGGCAGAGAAGCTGCATCATTGGGTTTGAATTTCTTTCAAAATTTGTTAAAATCATTTAAAATTGTTTTGTTCCCCCCCAACCTGAGTAACTAACTTGTTTAGGCTATTTTGCTTAACCAGAGTGACTGTGACATTAAATCCCTGTGTAGACACATTGAATTTCTGCATATAAACTGCAAACATACTGCTAATAATTTCCTTTACCTAAACACTTCATCAGGTGAGGCTGTAAATTTTAGCTATCAACACTGTGAAATTGCCACAACTTTGCGTATAGAATGAAACTTAAGACATATAATCTGGGGTCACAAAAGTCAGAGAGAAAGGGACTGGTTGTGTCTTGGAGAGAGGACGGAACTTTTTTTCTTCCTTATAACTGATGAAATGCACTTGTTTCTGCAAGTCATTGGACATTTGGCCAAATCTAGCAAAATACATGCATTTTTATTAAAGAAGAGTAGTCACTTTCTTATGACTCTTGCACAAGCAGGAAAATACTCCATACCTAGCAGAGAGCAATAAAAATTTAACATACACTATATATGTCACGGGCACTACTCATTTTTTTTGGGAAAACTACCCATTAGTTTTCTTCCCTCAGGACTAAAACTGATCCATAAAGACATGCTAGAGCCAGTGGAGTCACACTGGCATGTGCTGAATGCAGATGGTGAATAGGGACTGCTGCTTCAAACTGGTACCAGTGCAAACTTAGCTGCTTTTATATGGCAAGTGAGAAAAAACAACAAAAAACCAACCAACCAACCAACCAACCAACCAACCCCACCCAACAAAAAAAAAAAACCCCAATCCCCCCTCAAAATCAACCAAGAAAACAAAAAAAAAATAAAACAAACCAAAAATAACCCAACCAAAACCCTGGGTAGCCTTCACTTTTGCACCATAAAATCAACTCTTGTCTGATGCCTCCACAGCTCCCTACCAGCACTGATGGATGGAATCCAGCATTGCTTGTCTCAAGGGTATTCATAGAATCATGGAATGGTTTGGGTTTAAAAGGGACCTTAAACACCATCTAGTTCCAACCCCCTGCCATGGGCAGGATGCCACCCACTAGATCCGGTTGCTCAGGGCCCCAGTTCAACCTGGCCTTGCCCAGGTTCTAAGAAACTACTTCACTGCCTAAGAACAGTGAAGTCAGTCCAAGGCAGGTATCATGAATCTGTCTCAGGTAGTAACATGGGGCAAAGTTCCTCCTGCCTTGTCTCTGGCAGGTTGTACATGGGCAGAGCAGATGCTGCAGGCACAGAGGGCAGTGGCAAACAACCTGTCTTAGCAAAGCAATGTCAGTGCTAGTCTCACTGCCTGTTTCACCTGCCACAGCTGCTCCTTGTTCCCAGCATGGGCTATCCTGGCAAACACTTTCCAGCAGAGACAAAACGTCTTGCCTCTGCTTCCCAGGGCATTTTCACGGCACCTCATGTTCCTGGCATCTTCTCCCCAAAAGCCTTCCCTACCTGAAAGAGCACAAGTGTGCCCCCCATCCCATTTTGGGTCTGGAAATGGCTTTTGAGATCCGTTTTCATGCAGAGAAGAGAGGAGACCATCAGGCACTAGGCTGTTCATTAGCATGGCAGACAGGGTAGCTTCACAGGAAAAGCTCTTTAAGCCAGTTGAACCTTTCCATTTCTGGAAACTCTTCCCTGTAGGAACAAACTTTGCCAGTTCTGACTAAAAAAACCCCATATAGGGACTTTATGAGTAAAAAATTTGCTGTGTCCTTACTGACTTGTATGTGAGCAGCCCATAGAGGAAATAACTGAAGGTTCATTCATTGAACAGTTCCAGTTTTAAAAGCTTTTCTACCTCTACATTTTGTATCACAGCTTCAAAAAGAAATGGGAACAATTTGTCTGCATTTTATTTCTTGGCAATGTGTTAAATTGATGATGAAACAGGTCAAAAGGACTTTACCAGAAAAGCTTCATTCATTTTAGAGAAGTACCTTTGTTGGAGGTACTCACAGGCAGAAAATCACGTCCTATTGTATATATTTTTTTTTGCCAAAAATAAAATACACTGGAAAAATAGCACTTATGTGCCAAAATTTGATTTGATAGACATTCAGTAGTTATGTAAGTTTGTGTCAAATGACATTTGCATATGCCCTATTTAAAGTAGCAGCTGTTAGGTACCTAAATTCCCAGGAGAACCCCCTCCCATCATGGATCTGCTGGTTTTGGGGTGCTGCAGCAGTTTCTCTGAGCCCAGTCAGTGTTTCCTGATGGGCTTCCAAATAGTTTGCAAAAACCCTGTGGCCTTGAAGAGGCAAATTCCATCTTGAGAAGTAAATTCAAATTTAAAACAATAAAAATCTACTTAACTCATTTCCCAGTGATGCTCATGTCATTACTACCCCACACCCCAAACCACTCTCTTTCCCCTGCAGCTGAAAGCCTGGTGAGTACATTTTACCCTCACGGCTCCTAATAAGCAATACCAGCCCAATTTCACAAACATGAAACTAAAGCACTTGACATTTTATCTCCTTGTTCAAACCACACTGCCTCAAGAGTGATGGGGAGTGAATCCACTTGCACTCTCTGGGCAGTATCCCGGGCTGTGGGCTGGGGCAGGCAGCTCCAGCATCAGTTCTGTTCCTAAGCTGTGCTTCTGGAGAGGTCAGCACAGTAGCCCATGATAAGCATTATTTGGGAAGTAAGTAACCTCTGGCCCACACTGCAGCCTCTGGAGAGCTCAGCCAAAGGGAGCTGAACACAGGAAACACAGGCTCTGCCTCCAAAGCTCTTCTTCTGCATCCCTGCTCTCCCTAATGACCGGCAAACGTACCAGTGGCCAAGGCAACACCTACACCTTCAGCAAGATTTATATCTGCACATGAATCCTTATACCAGGCCCTGGGCCTGTGCACACACAGGACCTTCCTAGAAAATCTCCTGGATGATCCAGCAGATGCAGCTGCAGGAGCTGGTGTGTCCTGGGCTCACCTGGCACTTTACACCATTTGACACTACTTGCTGTCAGGCACATGTGGCCAGAGTTACACACTGCCTGGTGTACTGCCAGCAGCACCCCGAGAGCTGGAGACTTCTATGCTGTTAA